AAAGCAATTTTGTCCAGCATCTTTGCCTTAGGAAGTAATTTATTTTATCAAATATAATTTTTTAAATATGCATTTTTCGTGTACCATTAGAAAGTTCAGAACACAAATACAAATATTTTCCTAGTTCTGCAAAATAATGTGTAAAATATTAACATTTAAAAACATTTTGTTGTGTTTAACCATAATTGTGCCCTAAAAATTTAATGTTCTTGAAAATTTCTTTTTCGGTAAAGGTTTGTTTTATTGATCGAATAGATTTCTGAAAGAATTATTTTGATAGGGTTTCACTAATTGATAATCATGACACACTATTGAAATATATATATTTATTCAAATATTTGAAGCAGTACATATGCTTGAAAAAAAAAACAAGAGCAGAATGTTATATTTGAACGTTTTACACTGTCGCCCTTTTAATTTTTTAATATTAGGCAAACCGGTACTTCATTGCAAAATTTTGCTCTTTTTTGTTTCTTTTTCTACAAAGAAAATTTTATATGAAACTGTGTGTATTACCTGCAACCTTTTTAGAAAATAGGGCTAGAATAGTCTTTAATGCTTTCCAATCTGATTCATATCATAATAAAATGAGGATCAAAATAAAGCATGAAGAGACACAATTAATTTTTATATCTGTTTCATATTTTAAAACGCAAGGGCTTTATTCACACTGCACAGGAAGGTCTTTTTAAACAGTTTCTGAATTGATCATTTTGTCCAGCTAAATAAAAACAAATATTATATAGTTTTTTTTACAAAGTAAATGTAGCTATACTTTCATTTGTTTTCTAAAAAAAATCAATGATTCAAAAAGAAACAAACAAAATTACTAGAATCTAAAAGAAGTCAAGTTTAATTCATATAAGATAAAAAGAAATATACATCATTCCTGACTTAACCGTAAAAAAAGTTAAACTTACTCTTTTTTGCAATTCTCTGAACTTTTCAGCAGAATTCTGAAATAAAAATATTATATAGAACTTTTATACGAAATATGTAGCGAAAAAAAAATCGTATGTCACGTAGATATAATAAGTCGGAGAGGAAGGGAAAGCTCCTAATATTCGTTACGAAAATGTAATTTTGTTTTAAGCATTTTTGCCTTCCGGATGAAAGTACATTTATTTTATCAAAATAACTGTCTTATTTTTTTTACGATGTAATCAATGCTATTTTTCATATAACATATAGAAATTCTAATGATCACAAATAAAAATTTTCCTATTCCTTAAATTTCGTAATGCATTTGATTGCAAAATAATGTGTAAAATATTAACATTTAAAAACTTTTTTAACGAAAATCGGATATAACGAATTTACGGATATAGCGAACTGATTTTGAATCCCCTTGAGGTAAAAAAATAATAAAATTTACATCTTTTATAACGAAATTCTCAAGATTACAGAAAATTAATTATTGATGATTTTTTGCTGTATTATGCGTGATAACTGATTGTTTAAGGAATAATTGAGAAAAAATATGACAAGAATATTTAGCTTACCCTGACCAGTCGGGCACAGCGACAGGTTCCGTAGGGTAAACAGACACATGGTTTTGTTGGGGTCTCTGCTCGAGCAAAACAATCAAAAGACAGCAGCAGAATCATAATCAGTTTTATAAACCTCATCGTGAAATAAATATGAAGTTTAAATACGAGGATTATATTAAGGAAAAAACACACTTTTGTGAATATTTCAAATACTTTTGAACCATAACAGGCGTAATAATTTTTGGATGCTGTTAAGTCGAAAAAGCATAACATTCTGACAAAATGTTATAGGTCTGTGATGTTATATACAAAAATATGAAAACAACATTGATATTTGACGTTGAATTCGATTCCAAGACAATTTTTTTTTATTTACGAATAACATTTAATTAACTTTTTTGTAAACTTTTGTTTTCGCGCCTATTGGCAATATAACGTAAAAAAAATACCCACATATATACGTAATGATTTGGTTAACGTTTGTGTGTAAAATTTTATTTAAGTGACATAATTAAAAGTTATATGACAAATATATACAAAGCGATTGAAAAAGTGACAAATTGTCAGCGCAAATGGTGACGTTAATACGGTATTGCAGGCAATAAATTTCATTAAATTGAAATAAAACATTTTGAGCATTTTGGATATAATCCTCTAGACATATCTGACAAAAAGATAGTTAACGATGTTAAAACATGCAAAACAACTACGTTGAAACAGGTTTCGCTGTGTGAATAACAGGTTTAAATTTGACTTGACTGGTTATCCAATATAAAAAAAAAAACCACATAATAAATTTGGACTTGTGTGAGAAGATTAATGAATATATCCTGAATGTAAAGACCGCTGTTAAATAAATCGATCAATTATGTTATATAACAGGTTTTTTTATGATATATGAAATTAAAGACGTTTATTGTTCAACTGTTAAATAAAATGTTAGATGAGAATGTGAAATTGTTTATTGAAAGAATCAACTCCCCAATCTTTTAGTAACGCTAGTATTTGAGATGTATAACGGTAACTAGAATCAAATTTATTAAATACATTGCCGAATGTGTTAATTAATTAATTAATTTGTATAGAGGCACAGTTTATAGAACAAATTCGTTAACACTACGAGATACGTCAGTGTTGCGCCGACAGCTGATTTGATAGCTTCGTTTACATGAGAGGAAATTTTTATTTATAGCGATATTTCACTGAATATTTTAGGCATGATTCAAAAAATGTTGATCATGATGTATACAAAAGTTTACTTCTAGAGTCCTAGTGAAACAAAATATATTAAATATGTTCGCCTTTTTATGGGACAACCCTCGAAACACAAACTTTTTCCTATGAAAGTGAATTTATCTTTATTTATTTTTCCTACTAAGGAAAAAAATATCGGACCCTCTAACAACTTTATGAATGAACAATGCATCAGAGTTTGGGGGGAAAGTTGGAATATTTATGGTTTTAGTTCAATATCTAAAAAACGTTCCTAATTGATTTTCTTTCTTCATTGTGAACAAAAGTTATTCAGATCATTCTCCTGGGTCAAATATTCTATTGAGGACACAATTTTTTTTTTCTTTTTGGCTTTCAAATGTAATCAATATTTGTAAAAAGCTTAAAATTTAAAATATGTTTAAATTTTTACGATGTCTTTACAATAGTATTTCTTTTGAAAAAAAAAAAACCCCAAAAACTAGGAATTGGATACTCTTGCGACACAAATAAAACAAGAAAAAACATTTACACAGAAAAGAGAAATTCATTTAACCAAGTAAGGAAAAATTTGTCCCCTCTAAAGCCTGCACGGACACTCTCTGAACAAATATGATCATTTTCGTCAACATTGATTATTATGATACCTTGCTGCTTTTTTTTTCCTTCCAACACTTCTTCCTACTTCCAAGTACCCTTGTCACGTAGCCATATTTTAGGAATAATATGCCTACTTGCAAATCTGTGTGATTCACACACAAATCATTCACACTAAACTTAAAAATATCCTATATCTATATTTTCCATGTCTTACAGCATTAAAAAATATATTCAATAATTGAATTCCTCGGTGCCCTATTTTTTTTTGTATTTTTCTAACGTCTCTGTAGCCTCACTGTGACGTCACATTAACACACTTTTCTTTATGTATATTTCTACGCGTGAGTTTACACGACAATGGTATTCAAATAAATTTTACTGTTTGCTTACTGGAAAAACACAGTAAATGTAAATATATTTACATTAACTTTAATTTTCAGTTTTATAAAATAAGAACAAAACACTGCAAATTCAGATGTTTTAGGTGGAATATAAAAAGAAATGTTTATGGTATATGTATTTTTCGTTAAAAATAAAGAAAAATTAAAATAAAAAGGCATCCTCAAGCAGAGCATCCCATCGCAAAGAGCATACCTGTTAATAAAGGCAATTCATTCGACAATGATACCAATGTAAATTTCGTCAAAGCCGTTTCGCACAGCACATAATTGTTCTTATATGTCGATATCATGTAAAGGAAAAAATAATTATTTTTCTAAAATGAAATAAGAGGTTGAATCCGGTTGATTTAATTTCAAGTATTACCAAAACAATATGCTTTTATGCATGGCAACATGTTGGTAAGTTCCTGTTGGAACGCTTGTTACTACATTCAAACAGTGCGATTTGACACGTAAATAAAGGTCATAAGGACACTTAATTATTTTAAAACCATTTCTTTTTCTCTTGAAAATATATTGTACTTAAAAAAATCTCGGTTATGTTTATTATACGCTCTTTTTTTCCTACTAATTGAAGGATCACAACGACTGTTTATATCCCTACCCTAAAATCTATGCTCTTTTTTTAATGTGCTGCCTTAAAGAATTTTAAGATCTTTTATAAATAAAGACTCCAAGACTGTTATAAAATTTGTATGTTTCTGATGTGAAGTCATAAAAGAGATCTGACTTTTCAAAGCAAATAGATAATAGAAAACAAATCTACCTAGCGTGAATTATTACATAAACATTCAAATAACCATAAAGAATTAATGTCCTTTCCTTAAAAAATTAAAGGAACACTAAGTTTGCTTGGTTGAAAGAAATGGCTAAATCTTGAATTATTGCACATAGCTCAAAAGAGGTTTTCAAAACAGGTAAGGACACATACCTTACAACTATATTCCCAAGAGGTATATGGTAAAAATACTTAAAAATAAATTATTGAAAATAAATATTCTTCCTGTTGATTTTGTCGACCCGGATTTTCTTTGTAAATGAATCCGACATATGTTTCATTGCGTGGTAAAACTGACGTCATTTTACGGATATTGCAACGTAATATTTCATGTCATGCATATGTTACCAAACAAAATTCATTATAAAAACCCCTCAGGGATGAACAAATTCGTTACACGTTCTTTACAGGTAAGAATTTCTTACGATTGGTCAACAAAAAATGAAGATATCTTTATAAATTGTATATGTGTAGAACTGTTCCCATTAAAATACATTTGTCTGTCCAGTTACCTTAGAGATAATCGATAATAAAATTTAAGATTTTTAATTTTGGAAGTTTTTATCTTTCAGGACTAAACTCTTGGATCAAAAATGGCCTCTCTAAAGGTATATCTTAAATTTAATGTGAGATAAATGTGCCACTTAAAAAAACTTAAAATATATCTATCATGATTCAAATAAGGTGAATACAGAAGATTGGTTGATTGATCAATAGTATGTTGTTTAGCGTCTCTCTCGAAAATTTTTCACTCATATGGAAAATCCTCCATTTGTCGGTGGAGTTTAAAATTTTTTTGACCTATTCTCGGTACTTACGTTCATTGAGCAGGGAGGGATCTTTTTCGTGCCAGCATCTACTGCGATACGGGATCTCGGTTTATACGGTCTCATCCAGAGACGTCCCGCAGTGGTGGATTCGAAACCGCGACGTAAGGATCAACTCGTCACTCTGCGACTCTAGAGCAGGCGCTGTAACTACTGCGCCAGGCAGGCGATGGAGTATAGAGGAAGATCAGTTGTATTTTACTGATTTGAATTCTTTATCTAAGTAAAATTTCCCACAATGGGATTCGAACCCGCGACGTTAGGACTGACTCCTTACTCCGCGACTCTTGAGCAGACGCTCTAACCACTACGACACGCGGGCGATGGAATGCAGAGGAAGATCAGTTGTATTTTACTTATTAGAATTGTTTTCCAATGTATAGTTTATCATACTGTGAAATCACATATTTTCATGAGAAAAAAATTTCGGGGTTTGAAGAAAAAGATCCGTTTGGGATGGGGAAGAGGGATATTTACATTTTATTTATCAGAAATTTTACGTTTTATAGTGTCATTTGATGTCTCTAAAACAAAATAAAAAAAAAAATAATAATTCACTTTAACACAAAGTTCAGATTTCACTGTATAACAAAACAAAGCATATTTATACCCAAATCTGTTAATTTATTAAAAGCGTTTCATGCTACATAGTGTTCTTTGTTACGAAGCACAGAATTTAAATTTGTGTCAAATGTGTCGAAAAAAATAATTGTAAGAAATGCAATAATGCCAGTTTATGTCCTAACTCCCAGTGGTTCCTCATTAAAATTTGCATTGTAACATTGCTTACATTTATTTTTTGTGTCAAATGTGTCGCAAAATCGTTACTCCCTAGTGATTCTTAATTAACATTTTCATTGTAACATTGCTTCATTTATTTTTGCAGATGAACCTCCTCGTCCTCACCGTTGCTGTGCTCGGTGTATACCTTGTCCACGAGATTTCTGCAGCGTCAGCTCATTGTGGTTATCACAGACACACCACGTGGAACTTTCGAGTTTGTAACTCCACCCATTGCAAATATTACTACAGAGTCTACTACGGTATCTGTTATTCAAGTGGGGTAAGAACATATTTTTAGTTCTTATATATCTTGCAAATATGAATGCAAAAGATTAATATTTCCATGTTGACACTTTCGGTAGTGTTGCTTGACGTCGCATCAGCAAAGGCGGTTAAACAGAAATGTGCAACCATTTAATCAGCATTAACGATCACAGATACAAAGCTAAAATTAAAGAACATGGTTATTCCCATTTCTTTCAAATTTAAGCATTTTTTTTAATGGAAACGCCTTTTTAAATGGAGTTTTATAAATTGTATACACGTCATGAGGCATCGTATTTTTTCATCCCTCTACTATGATGTATAGCAATGTAAATATTTCACTTTCATTAAAGCCCTTTTTACAGACTCAGACATCAATGTATTAGATAATCAAAATTCATTGTTGAACACAGTTGCATTAGGATAAAAGAAATCTCGAAGAGAACTAAGAGAATACGACGACATTCGATCTGTCATTCTCATTGACGATTTCCAACTTAAAAAAACTTTTTTTTGCAGAATTTGGCTTACGACTTGAAGGTCTCACTTAATGGGGCACCTTTGTATTATTACAGAATAATTCGAAGGACAAAGTAAGTATTCCATACTATTACAAATGTAAGTAAAGTATTGCCTATAGCAATTCAGACCAAAAAAGTGCTTTATGTTATCCTTATGCTAAAAGTTAAAATTTAAAGCATTTGCTTCCATTAATATTATTTAGAACTCTAGGAAAAATGTAGAAACTTTTCTTTTTTTTTTAAACTAACAATTGTAATGCAAATAAGGTTGAGATAAGACATTTTATAAGCATTTTCATGCATATAACAGGGAATGCAATGTATCATATTTCTAAAATTACTTATATATGTACATTATGTATTTACATTAATTTTGTACATGCAATATTACCTTTAGTTATGATCTTTGATGATATAAATGAAAAAGTTTATTGTACCTAACGAATGAAGGACATACAAAGGAATCATTCTTACTTTTCTGTAATCATCTATGTTAGAAAACCATATTATTACTAAGCACTTTGTTTCTATTATAATTTTCTCGTCATAAATGTTTCAGAAGAAGCATTGAAACGGAGGATGACGTCTTTGAAAAAGTGGAGAGGAGCAGTAATGAAGCAGAAGAAAGACAAACAAAGAGCGTAGGGGTAAGAAAGGGTCTCTCTCTCTCTCTCTCTCTCTCTCTCTCTGTGACTCCTTCCCCTCTTTCTCACTGTCTCCTTTCTCATGCTTTGTCTTTCGCTCTCTCTCTCTCATTCTTATGCTTTCTCTCTCTGTCTCTCTCTCTCTCTGTCTCACTCTGTTTGTCTCTTTCTTTTATTTATTTCTTCTATCTAAATTAATATTGTACATTTTGCTTTTTTAAGGAATCTGAATATTATAAAATACTAAGAGGCATTGATGGCCAAAAATCGTCTAAGAGAAGCACTGGATATTTGACTACTAAAATTGAAGGTTAAAGTAAGTAGCAAATTGGACGTTCGTTATTCCTTAATAATATATTGTATTTAGAGTAATACTTACCTAATTGAAGTTTTGAGGTTTTAATTAATTTTTACTCATTCTTTTTCATTCAATATACTTTTATGTTTTTCAACTTATCAGAATAATTCTTTTTAATTTTTTGTAGTCATAGGGAACTAGAAGAATGAAGGACACACAAAGGAATCATTCTATCATTTGTGTTAAAAGTGAAATAAAATTGTCTGCATGATAACATTTGGTTATTCCTCTTTTCTATTCGACAATGTCTATGTTTTTTTTTTGAGACCAGGGCTGCATTCAAGATCGTAGAGGCTAACCTAGCTGCTTGGTGTAAGATATTTGTCTCTGTTGAACGGATAACTAGCTAAGCTGCGAAGTGTCAGTTTTTTTTTTTTTTTTATAAAAAAAAGTTTTCGTTTAAACTTATTTTTGAACAAAATTTGTTTAATTTAAGCGAAAATTATTTCATATATATGTAATTTTAATATTTCACTATTCTAAAATGTATAACAATAGCTTCCTATGTTTTAAAATCTAGTTGTTCGATGTTGTAATTTAGTGTCCATCGATTTCGTGCCTTAGAATCAAATATTTCAAGCAAACTCCACCTTTATATGCGTAACAACTGTTAGCTTGCTTATTTATAGATCTTGGCTTCAAGTTTCGATACGATAGCAGCTACGCTTTTCGAATCATGTTCTTCAACCATTGTTTGGAATTCCATTGAATATTATGTTTAATGGCTTTCCTTTGAGCAGAGATTTTACCTGTATTCATATCAAGCAAAATTTATCCAAAATGAAAAGAAGAAAACACTTGCTGTGGTCTTAAACTCGACATTTAGATATATGGACGACCTATTGTAAATTAATAATTGTAATTTCAATTTTAATATGAACACGATATATCCAAGTGAGTTTGAAATAAAAGATACCATATATTTTCCAAAATCTATTTCATTTTTTGATATTTTTCTAATCTAAAGACAATACAATGAAAAATCTAAAAACTAAAGTTTATGATTAACGTGATAACTTAAACTTTTTAATTGTCAACATCCTTTACTTATGCAACAATTTACCCTTTTACGTGCATACAGGTTTCATATCTCAGTTGATATATTATACACAAGAACATGCTCTTCGTAGGAACAATTTCTAAAACTATTTTAGTTGCTCACAATTAAGGGGGCCGAATGTGGTTTCCACTGCGCAATATTTCGCGCATCATTCTAGTAAAAGGAAGCGTATTTACTGATTTAAAGCAACTTTCTTTCGCTTAACTATTAAAATCAGAAAAATTAAGAAATGATAGATATAAAAATGTAATTAAAATTTTATATAAATGATTTTTTAAACAAATTTTGCAATTGATAGGCAGGTTGACGTCGTTACAGTGTGTTTTTGACGTTATGATAAACTGAAACTCTTAAAGAAATGATTAAAAAAATGTTATTAAAGGAAAAGTAATAAACATAGGCTCTTGAAATTTAAAATATAGAATTTGGAGAATATCTCCATTATTATTATCATGTTTTCATATGAATCATTTATCCAAAATACATGTAGAAGAAAACAGGAAAATTCGCTAATGTTTGGCATTTTGAGATGCCCCCTCTGGTAACAAGACGGTAGAATTTTGTTTCTTACATATATTGCATGATAAAGTATTACCAATCAAAATTATAGTTTGAACAAAAGGTCTATTGTAGTATTTGTATAATTTGCTTTAAAGTGCTAATAATAGGTATATGATTAAAGTATAATATAACTTTTTAATTGTCAACATCCTTTTACCTGCAACAGTTTCCTCCCAACTTAAAATATACACTGAATTTTATGTAAGTTATATATGGTATAAAAATGAATAGTTTAGCTATTGTAGTTTTCACACAATACAACACCAGTCGGCCCCCTTACATGTAAGTTGAAGAAACTGGAATATCAGCAGTTTCGTCTAAAGTTATCATTTTCTAAGTTCTACGGTCGATACAATGACCTTGTCACTAATTACAATATATCATTAAGCTAAAATTTATGTTATCTGACGTTTTTCATGATCATGACAAGGAGCACACGGCAGGTGTGACCGGTTGACAGGGGAATCTCAATCTTTCATGGCACTTTATCCACCCTCTGATATTTCTCTGATAATTACTCTGCTACAAATTTTTATTGTTCGAAGGTCTTTTGAGCTCGGATAATGTTCGTAATTACCATATTTACCTAAAGAAAAAAAAACGGTAAAGTTTTAAGGAGGACAATTTATTTTTTCCATATGTATTTACAAATTTTCTTATCTTACGCTTAAATATTTTAAACTGTAAATGTATCCCAAATCCCATTTGATTTTGCCTCAAAATTCAAGTGTTACTAAAAGGGTATCTTCCTCTCTCTCCCACAGATGTTCAATAAGTAAAAGATAAACATTAAGGAGACTAGTCGAGTGGGTAAATGGGATTGTTCGCGAGAAAGTCTTGACAAACCCAAGCTGCATTGGGCTAGGGGTAAACACACCGAAAAAATAAGTTAAATGGCTCGCTCATGCGCCAGTGAGAGGAACACAAACGTAAAGATGATCAGTTCAAAAATTCAAATTGTGCGATTGGTTTCTTTCATCTAAATGGTTAATGTAATGATTATGATAACCTACTCTATTAATAGCAGTTTTTGTGGTACTAAGGTTGCAATTGAATAGGTGTCAATGTCATCCTCACGGTTGATTGAAAACTATTCAAAGCCCTCTCTTAAACAAACAATCTCATTTTATGTATGATAAGTTTCTTTTTATATTCATGTATTGGTTTTATTATTGTATGTAACATGCCAAAAGGACCAACTAACGACTTTACTAGATTAAATCGCTCTTTACACACTCAACTCTCCTTATTTATTGCGTAATCGTCCTCTGTCACGTGCATATACTGACTACGTCTCACAACCCATTTAATACTTAGAAACATGCTTGAGATCCAAGTGCAAACCCTTTCGTATGCGATAGATAATCTGACTTCTGATTTTAATTTTCAAGCTTAATTTTCAAAATCACATTTCAAAATTCCATGGTGGTACAATAATGACTTTGTCAGAAACAATAACCTACTCTGGGGTCGCATTTTGACCCTTGCATTTATAACCAATTTGTATACAGATTCAGTCAAAATAAACCCAGAATAGAAAAAGCCAACATTTTTATTTTGTAATCTTCGAGAATCCAGGAAAACATTTCCCTGGAATGCAGGGAATTCTATTCAGCTGAATTGAGCTCTGTGTCGGATATTTTGTCCATATAAATAAACAAAATTAGGAATAATTTAAATGTATTTCTTTTGAATTTAAAAAAAAAAAATAAAAAAGAAAAAAAAAGCGCCAAAAAGTTTTAAACTATTATAGATTGATGCAAAATAATGTTTTCCTGTTTTTTGTTTCAGTAGAATTTAAATAAGAACCAAATATTTACATATTTAAAAAATAAAAATAAAAATATATCTAAGGGTCAAATACTTTTTAAATTGAAATATTCTTCAATCAAATAGTTAAATGACCTTTTTGTCATAATGATAGTTTTGAAACGTTATAATTATGTACCGATTTCAGTTTCTAATGCTATTCTATAAATTTACTCTAATTAGAGCCCATTGTTCAGCTTGCACAATTAATTATCTCCGAGACCTCGCTGGACACATGAAGCAGTTTTTTCACACTTCACGATAATTACAAAAGCAATTTTAAATATCAATTAATTCATGCTTAAATAGTTTTACAGTTAACAATGTCTCGAACATTACATTTGCGCTGAGAGTCAAAACAGCGTATGTGTCTAATTATTCTCTATACAGAGTTGTCGTTCTCACTACGCTCCCACATCTCTCTGTTTTTCATGTGACATACCCGAATTTTCTCTGTCGATATTTAATGAACATTGCATGTGTATATTTACCCTTTGAAAACAATCTTTTATTAAATTAGGGTTAAATACTTAAAACCTATTATTACTGATACTTCTTTTTGATTCTATACGCAAATATCTATTTATTAAGTTCTTATGTGTGTTTAGGAAAGGGGGGGTCTTTAATTCAGAGTTTATATATTGTAGAAATAATTTAATTTTTGTTCTACACTATATTAAAATGATATCACTACATTATATTAAAACGATATCATTTTTTAAATTATTATTCTTAAATTCATCAAACATTTTGCCAAAAAAATAATGTTGTTTGTATTGGAATAAAGATGCATAGGTGCTGTGTGTTTTTCAATTTAATTTGTGATTCCTTCGCGAATTGGTCGCGCAATGACCGCAAATATCAGTATTTGGGGCAATTCTTGCGCCACAGTTAAATTTCAAATGATGGAGAACCCTGCTGTATTTTATAGAAAAAACAAATACCTTGTTTAAAGAATTATTTGGCAGAGTAGCATCGCAGCACAGTTAAGGTTAAAGTAAGGAGGCGGGGCCTTTTTACGGGAAATATTTACTATGACGTCACACATAATATAAGGTCTTCAAAATACCACAAAATGAAATCATTTGCTATTTCAAACAGCTGGATAGCTGTATACTACAATCAAACTTACTATTACATGCAGTTTTGTTTTGTTAAATTCCACACAACAGTTTTTAAACGATGCATCGATCGCAATGCACTTGTCAATGTGACGTCCTCTCGCAAAAATGGTGCAGTTTGTACACAGTGAAAGCTGATCAAGTCACATTTGAAACAATGAAAATGTCTTTTTTCTCAAATGAAATATTCTATGCATTTAAATAAAAGGCCGTAAACTTGGATGCGATGTCTATTTTAGTATTTTATTTATAAACTGTCCGTACGTTCTCCAGACAAGTGATACTGTCGTGTGTTTGTATGCAGAATCATTGAAAAAGTAATGGAAGGGTTAATAAATCGATTTATTGCAAGGCCATACTATCAATGTATCTTGTCAAGTTTTTACACATAAACTCAAGAAGCATTAAGATGTACGAAAAGTGCTGCTAACCTCATGAAATCTTGCAAATAAATTAATTATAGCTACATTTAATGTAGTTGACCAGCAAAATATCCAACCTGCCGTCCAACAAATTAAAGTTTAGCAATTAAAAAAGAGAATGTATATAGGTTCGCAGCACTTTTCACAAACTACATATAGTGTTGAAAAGGATTATAAATGAAAATGAGATATTTAACTTGGTTATGCACTTGCAATATTGGAATTTATAAATGACCTCTAA